GTAGACTGGGGCAGCAGACAAACCACAGCGCTCAGACAAAGTGCACTTCAGATTTCTTTTACGTGGCCGTGTTTGACAAGTGCAGGCGAAGCACTCAAATAGCTGTTGCTACGTGCCATCAATTGTCAGCTCAGATATTTGTCTCTGCACAGTTGGACGGCTAAATATTCCATCATAATTTGTGGCTCGACGGCGCTGTTATTTCTGTATTTATTTCACTTTTGAAAGGCATATCCGTTCATCGGCCATCCGGCTGAGTGAAGGCAACTGCAGCCCGCACACGATTACGTTGTATTGTTATAATAAATTTCAGCTTCATTTGCTAGCGATTTGCTTTCTTTTCTTATATGCTCAAGTGCGTCTAAGTATGCGAGTCCTTTTGTTGTCCTCGACATTTTATACAGCAGCAGCAGCAGCAGCAGTCGTCGACAGTCGACAGTCGCTCGTCGCCCTCTCTGATACGCTGCCATGCACTTAATTTCCTCTGTTCACGTCAAGTTGATTTTGCCTTTCCCTATCGAAGTGTTTGCCTTGCACTCCACTGCTCGCCCCAGCTTAGCTGGAGAGCCACAGCTGACCTTCAACATCTTGCCTGTGGCCTATGGCCCAACACCCACTCAAGCCCGCCCCTCTCTTTGCTATTAACCTCTCTTGCCACATTATTATTACCCCCACCTGCTGCTGCTGCCGCTGCTGCTGTTATGTAAACTATAATTTATTTCAATCCAATTTTAATAGAAATTTATGCATTGTTTTTATTCACTTCACTCGGCAACGTTCTGATTCCGACGTTTCCGACATGCCAATAAATTAAGTTCTCAAATTTGATTTGTTGACAATTTGCTAAGCAGAAATAAATGTTTCACATGCACCTGAATAGAAAATCCTGTTCAATATCAATTCAACTTCAAAGCTAATGCGAGTTGCAAAGCAGGAACTGATTTGTAAATGAAGCTTATGCAAAGCACTCACAGCTGAGATTCATAGATAACAGTCAGAGTGAGATATAATAAAATCAAACTAATTTTCCAGATCAAATTTATAAGTTATGTCAGAACTGAAGACAGACTAAAAACACGCTTGGTAAGCCAGAGTAGAACTTCAATGCGATTTGCAGGCAAACCTGATTGAATTCAAGTATGTATAGTAGGTCAAGGCCAACGGATATCTTTTCTGATAACCACAGTGCAGCAGCTGTTAAGTCAGCTGTAAGCACCCTCAACAGTTCATGCTCAAATCTGTCTGCAAGCAGATCTCAGACATCCCTAGTAGACATTCTTAGCAGACATCCTTAGGTGCGATCCATAGATGACATCCTAAGCTGACATCCTTAGATGACATCCTTAGGTAAAATCCTTAAAAAACTTTCCTAGGAGACGTCCTTAAGATATATTCTTAGGAGCTACCTTTAGGTGACATACCCGGGAGGCATCCTTAGGAGGTATCCTTAGGTAAAATCCTTAGTACAAATCTTCCGCAAACTTCCTTAGGAGACATCCTTAAGGTGCATCGTAAGGTGACAACCGCAGCTAAGATCCGTAGAGAACTTTCTTAAGAGGACTTCCTTAGCAGACATCCGTAAGTGATATCCATAGATGAAATCTCAAGTGAAATCCCTAGAGGACTTTCTTAGGAGACATCCTTAAAGACATTCAAAGGAGACATCCTTAGGTGAAATCCGTAGATGACAACCTTAGATGAAATCCTTAATAAATTAGTAGTTCAAGCTTGAAGCACTCACCTCGACCCGAAGCTCTGCTCAGTTCAAGGTAGCAGCTCAATGGACAACAAAATCCAGTCATTCAATGGGATCGACCCTGATCATAGCTGCAGACGAGAACTGGAGAACTATCAGCGTGTTTCATTCCATTTTGTCATATTCCCGTTCACAATAGTCGAACTGCAAGAAGAAAAGCAATGCGAACAAGCGCTTAACAATGGGGGTTCGTAAGTGCAGACAATTTGTGAGAAATGAAAAGTGACAGAAAACAGCGAAGCGCGTGAAAGCGTTTTCTAAGAAACGCACAGCTTTTCACCTGCTCCATCGTTTCCAGTTAACAAGAAAATCACATTAAACGTTGTTGGTTCCTGTTTTTCGTGCGAAAAGTCGACAACAAATGGTTGAGATGCATAAATCATTTTGTAAACGGCGCAGCAGCCAGCCGTGTGGGCGTGTGGGCGTTTGGCCGTGTGGGCGTGCGCGATTTCAGATGCAGTTGGCGGTGGCCAAGGTCACACAGGTGGCACCAGGTGTGCTGCTGCTGCTGTCAAAGAAGTCAGTTGCGTTTAGCAATTTAGCCAAGTGCCGAGCTACACAAAGCACGCACACACACATAATATACACTGTGTGTGTGTGTGTGTGTGTGTGTGCATACATAAGTACTTATAAGACGCTGCTGCTCGTATTTCTGCCGTTGCTGCGCACTTGCATAAGTCTATCAATAAATAATAAATTTGTACTTCATTCAATTTGCAAGTGCAATACGCTCGATAGATACGCAACAGAACGCCCTGATGCGATGCCGATGCAAAATTGAAATTTGCCAAGCAGTCGAATGTTGATGCTGCTGCAACTGCTGATGCCGATGCTGATGCATTGCTACCGACAGCAAACCCATTAAACTTGCAGTTGATGCAGCACAGCAAATATCCGAATCAGTTCGACTTAGCCAAGTCGAAATGAACAACGAGCCAAATCGACTCCGATTGTTGCTGTTAAAAGCCCCAGACAGTCTAACAATTGATTGCATAATATATAATTTTAAATATTTCAATGCGAATGGATACATTTATAGATCTATATGTATCTGTATTTATCTATTATGAATTGTTATCAACGCATCAAATCTGGGCTAAAATTAATATGCATTTTTCATCAAAGATTCCTTTTCTATGTAACGTTCATTGCAACTTTAACAAGAGCTTTAACGTTTGCTACTGAAGTTCCAGTTAACTTCAGTTATATATATATATATATATAGAGCACATCTTGCATGCTTCAGTTTGGGTATCACTGACTGCGCTTTACTGTGTTTTGTTTAGAAAATAAATTATAGCTTAAGCAGCTTAGATTGTTGCAGTCGAGCGTAACCGACTGCATAATACTCGTTCACTGCTTACCTAAAACAACATTTATACATGGAGAACTGCTGACTTCTAAAATATTTGAGTCAATTTGTGGAAAAACTTGAATTGCAAGAGTCTACTTTACAGTACATCACATTTATGATTAGTTTCTAGATAAAGTCAACCTAAACTCACTCGATCAATTCAAGAACTAAAGCTAGATAATTTGTAGAAAGAGCTTTAAAGAGTTGATTGATATACAAGTTTTCAGTCAACTTCTAGAGCAGATCGAGATTGACCTTTTGACCAAATCATTGACACAGGAAGGCAACCATTGAACACAATTCACTTGCTCTAAATTTCGGCTTTAATTAAAAGTTTATATTTTGAAGATATATTTAATTTGTACCCATGTCCGCATTGATGCTCTATTTGCGCACATCGTTGCAGGGATAGGAAGGACAGGCAACGGACTCTGCAGCAGCAGCAGGTGCTTCTTTTGCATTGCCAGCAGCCGTCTGGGTCACACCTAGCTGACTATTGTCCTGCTGTTCAGACGAACTTTTTGAGTCTGGGCTTTCCGGCGAGCATTGGTGGGCGGTATTTTCGGTGGTATTTGCGGCGTTGTTTGTGGTCGTGCATGCCTTGCTGGGATGTGGCCCAATGTAGAACGGATTGAAGACCATTTCTTCACAGTCTTTCTCGTTCATTTTCCACCACGGATAGGAGACAAAAAAAAATGAAAACAAAATTTAAAAAAATAATAATAATAACAAACAAATTTGTATCTATTCGAACGAAATTCTGTCTCGAATTTTGGAGCAGGGCTCGCTTCGATCGAATTTTTAGCATAGCATCGTCGTAAATCAAGTAATGCCAATAATACAATTCGTATTCGACAATTCGTAAGCTATACTCACATATTGATTATATTTTAATAAGTGTCTAGAATTAGCCTTGAGCTGCTTTAATTATTATATTTATTAGCCATCAATCGAAGCAAGGGCTGTGGCAAGTAGTTCAGAAGGCCTAGCAATTCATCGAAACCATGCCACGCAGCTGTTTGTATTTATAACCAAAAAAATATATATAGGTGGACTAATTTTAAAATGTTTTTGTTTTTTTGAGCTTTGTAGTAGCCACTACTATTTTTACGAACAACTAAATTTTGCATTTAAATTAATAAAAAAATCTTAAATATGTTAATCATAATATTCAAATAGAATTGCGCTTATCACTAAATTGTAACATTTGGTGCTCAATCACAGCACTACTATTTTTATGAACAAAGCTGTTAGATGGATCATGACGCCAATGAAGTTACTTTTTGCACTTGAAACATTCCCAAATTGCTAAGTTTTTGATGATGTTAATGGAAAAGTGTATTGGATTAATATAATGCAAATAAAGACTTGATATTTGCAAAATACATAAGCTCGAGCTGGTTCTTCTGTAAAAAGTGAGAAGTCATTTGGCAACGTAACAAATCCTACAAATATCAGCCAGCTTCCACCTATGAATTAAGCTATACATATGACATGGCAAATCAATCAGTAAGTCTTGAAACCAAACGAGTATTAGGCAGTCGATTGTACTCTACGTTAATGTTAATGATTTTCTTGAACTTTGATATTTACGATCATTGAACTAAGTAAAGTATAATATAAAACTATTATGTATTATGAAACGATGAAACACTCTCACACACACCCACACAACCACCCAACCACTCTCCACTATATGCAATGCTGCTGGCTGTGAAATGTAAACTAACTGAATAACTAAATATTAATTTTGATTAACAAACAAGCTTCTGATATTTTGTCTTTGTTCTCTCTTTCTCTCTCTCTCTCTCCCAACTTGCTGGCGCCATGCAGATGTTGAGAATTTAAAGTTAAGGCTGCAGCGACTGTCGACTGCTAAGCGCAAAAGCTAAAACTAACGCCTAGTCGCAGCCTGAGTCTAAACTGAGAGAGGCCAGCGCACAGTGGGGCAAAATGTAATTAACTAAAAATGAACGCAATGCAACTAAAACTACTAACCCGAACCGACAGACGCTTAACACGTAACTAGAGACGCGGCCAACTGCTCATCCGCTAACCCGCTCAACCGCTCAGCCGCTCAACCACTCAGCCGCCGACCCGTTCCGAACCCGCTGCGAAGTGAAGAGTGCGCAATGGCCGGGCCACAGGTGCAGCACACGCAACGACCGAACAGCGCCTACTACACCGGCCTCAATGGCAGCGGTGGCTCTGCTGGTGGTGGTGGTGGTGGGGCTGCCTCTGGCGCTGGGGGCATGGCCAGCAGCGCCTCACATACGGGCTTGGGATTGCATGCACTGCGCCAGGTGTCCAACGAAACGGAGCTTATATATCGGGGCAGTCACAGCAATGGCACCGTGAACGAGTTGCCCGGCGCCGGCAATGGTGGCGGGCAGGCGACACGCCAGCTGGCCAGCAACATGGGCCACAGTCGCATCATACAGCACCAGCCGGCGCACAGTTCGCGTGACAACGTCGTGAGCAGCATTGCGGGCACGGGCAACTTGGCGACGGATGCGCTCATTGGCACGATTGCCACCAGCGCGGGAGCTGGCAGCAGCAGCAGCGCCTTGGCGGCATTTAACAGCAGCAGCGGTGCAGGCGGTGGTGGCAGTGGTGGCGTCGTTCTCAAAAAGTCCAGCACACAGCGCAGCATTGAGATCATTGTGGATGCCACGCAATGCGGCAAGGAGACGGCAGACGCCGACGATGTCGAACAGGGCGAAGGCGGCGGCCAGGAGTCCTCGTCCTCAGTGCGCAAGTCCTCGCGTCATCGCCATCGGCCACTGCATCGACGCCTGATCAGCTATCTGCGCAATCTGTTCCAGGGCAGCGACGCACAGAATGGTAAGCACAGCGAGTATACCCGACTCGCCACCTACTACTATAGCACGACCCAACACCCATTTGATCTTTAGTTTCTGTGCCACTCTTAAGTTCTCTTAATATTCTCTCTCTTTTTTATTTGGAACTCGTGTAGCTTTGACTGAGCTGCTCTTGGCCTGGGGCTGCATATCCAAGCGTAAGCGATTTCTCTCCCTTGCCCCTGCGGCTGCCCCCACCTGATCCCCGATCTCTGCCACTAACTGGTCTCACTTGTGACTAACCCTGCTTCGTTGCCACACAGCGTGTGTCTGTCTAATTTTAACTGAACTCATTCATTGTCTTCCGGCTCATCGATTCCGTTTTTACAACTGAAAGTGCGGCTATTGTTAAGGCTCAGTTCAGGTGCAGCTCAGAGGATCTAGTAGAATCCTTTGTTGCCGTTGACTTGCCCGAGAGCGAGTCTTGCATTCGACTACAATATCAGCTGAACTCATTATTGAGCATGCGACTTGGGTGGCACGAGAAGAGTAAACTGACAATGACAGCTCAAAAGCCGATATGGCATTGAAACACTCGGCTCGGCCGATTCAACGGATTTGCGAAAAACTTTTGCACAGACTCATCCAATCATAGCCGCTGAAAGGATATCCGCAGCTTCACAGCCACAGCCGCAGCCACATCCACATGAACGTGGCCCCAGCTCAGCCTAGACAAATTTCAGGATCAGATTTTGACTTTTGGAGCGCCGGATTTGCAGCTCCGTTTGGTTTTTGGCCAGCGATGAGCAGCGCAAAAGTTTTATTGAAAAAGTTTGATGAATGACAAGTTGGCTTCCGCGCCAGTCCATGAGCAGAGCTCCACCTGCCGCCCACGCCCACTTTTTGACAATTTTGGTTTATATTTTGTGCACTTAAAACATTGACGCAATTTGCGTCATTTCACACACATTAAAGTTGAATATGTAATCGATCTAAAAGTGTGTTTAAAAGTATCGTCAGCCCAGCAAATTATATAGAGCACTTTCTAATTATGATAAATAAAATATGGCAAAAATGGCAAATGGGCATAGAAAAGTGCAGAGGCTTGCTATATATTTAAAATTTAAGTTTTTATCTCAATAATTTATAAAAATTCGACTTTAATATCAAAAAATATTCATGAAAGCATCGTTAATTGTGTAGTTAATTCAACTTAATTAAACTACAAGAGCTCGTGGCTCTTGGTTTTATAATACTATGTACTAGGTACAACCGTTTATGGGACTAGGTACAAGGTACACAAGCTCTGTAATAGATACAAAAGCTATTGCAACTAGATACTATGATAATAGCTGCAAGAAATTTGTGGGTACCAAGTACTGCTATACTAGGTACAACAATACTCAGTATTGCATACAAAAGTTCTTGGTACTTGGTACTTTAATACTACGTACTAAGGTACAACCGTTCAACTATAAGTACTAGATACTGTGGTACCTTGTACCTATTGTACAAGAGATTTGTTGGTAACAAGTAATATATAATATATAATAGGTACAACAATGTTTTGTATTAGGTACAACAGCTCTTTTATTATAATAATTGTAACTAGGTACAATAGCTATAGGGACTTGATAGTATAATATTAGGTACTAAGCTTATTAGTACTCGATACCATAATATTAGGTAGGCTTGGTACCAGCTACCTATAATACAAGTTTCTAGGATCAACAGATAGCAAAGTTCTTGGTACTTGGCACAATACTAGGTACAATAGTTATTGGTACTAAGCACAGTAAGACTAGCTGCTAGGTAGAAAAGTTCTTTGTGCCAGGTCATCTAAATCAAAATACTAGATGTGCCAGTTCATTATACCACGCTACGAGATATTAGGTACCACAAGGTACTACAAAAATAGGTACAACAATGCCTTAAAGCTATTAAATCTTATTGTATGCTAGTATTGTTTAGTTGCCCTAAAGCCTATATAATTTAAATTAAATTATAAGCACGCAAAGGCAGGCAGAAGCTCAATTTGACGAGGCTTCGCATCCGATATCAACAGACAGGCAACTAGATATAGACGTAGGCTACCTCCATAAACTTCCTTAATCTTACACTATTTGAACTATTTTAATGGTCCGCAGGTACTCGTAACAAAGCAACAGAAAACAGAAAACAGAACACAGAATGCAGAAGAGCGATGAGCTGAAATGAAATATTCGGAGATTGCAGCTCGTTTTTGCTTCAGCAAATTCGCCTTTTGTGTCCTGGTTTTTGCGCCGTCTTCTTGCTCATCTTTTCTGTACAGCTTTTGCCGTTGGCTGCATTTTATTGTTTCCTTCTCCTCGGGCCAGTTGCGTTGCCTCTCAATCTCAATCGCAATCGCCATTTGCAACAACACCCAGGTAACAGCATCGTCTCAATTTCCGGCAGAGTCCATTTACTGGGCTGCCCTTGGCTCTTGTCGTTTGTTTGTTTGCCAGTCTGTGTGTCCTTGTCAACAGTTCTCTTCTGCGTTTCTTTTATTTTTGCCTGAGCTCTGTTGGTGTTGCTTCTGCGCTTCACTGTACTTCATAATTTCTTCATTAGATGGATGCCACGCCCGCAACCCGCAACCCGCAACCCGCAAGCATTCAGCTGGTAATTGAATTCTGCGTCTGCATTTTGTGGTCGCTCCAATTTGTGCACTTGATGGCTAACAAATGAAGGTCCTTGCAGGACTAGAGGAGACGCGCCCACTCGTCCAACTGTCCGCCCGTCTGCCCATCTGCCCGTCTGCCTGCTTTTAATTATCATTTCATTATTCGTTGTTTGATACTCTATACATCATTTTTAATGGGAACTGCGACATCTTAAGTGCTTGTCTCGCTGCACGCCCGGGCGCTGGGGCGTCTTGTCTGCAACTACTTAGTGCAACACCTGCAGCTGCCACCTTTGAGGCCCCCTGCAACTGACTATCTTGACAGTTGCGCCCTGCGCCCTAAGCCCTGCGCCTTACACCTTGCGCGCTTCGCCTTTCGCCTTGCGCTTTGGCTCCTCGCGCTTTCACAGCCTTTCACGGGCATTCAGCCGAAAGCGCAAGGATGCCAGGACACTTTGTCCTTTGTCTGTCATGTTTGTTTTTGTTTTTGTTTTTGTTTTTTTGCCTCTTCTCATGTTCAGTTTTTTCCTTTCCTTTTTTTTTTGTATTTAAGTGTCAGGGCTACCGCATTTTAATTTATTTAAGCGCATTTCTGTGCGGCTTGCAAATGAGTTAAGTGCATTTCGTGCACATTTTTTTCATTTATTTGAAAATATTTTCATTTTTTTGTACACAAAAGTTTTTGCATTTATTTCATGTCTGTAACTGTGTCTGTGTCTGTGTAGTTGTTTGCTTGTTGTTTATATAGGTGAGTATAGTAGCAGCTGCTGACTTAACTGCAGATTTGTTAGCTGCTGCAATTAGTTGGTAATTGTCTGGCCAACAACTGCAGCACTGTTAAATGCGCAATAAAACAAAGCATCCACACACAGAGCACAAGCAGCAGCAACAACAACAGCTACGAATTGTTTCACTTTTGCAACAATGTGACGAGCACGCGCCACAAACTTTATCCTTCGCATTTCCTTTTGCGAAATATTACACATACGCCCCGTGCGCTCGCATTTGCAGCTACCAAAAAAGTAAGAAGAAAATCCACGGCCGTAAATTGTACAGAATTTTAGCGTGATAAGCGCACAGCAACTGCCCACCCAAGTGAATTTCAGTTCAAAATCTTATTACCTGAAAGGCTGTAGCCAACTGAGTGGAAAGGCAACTCCCCAAGTAGTTCAAGTTTCAGCTGAAAGAAAAACAAAGTGAACAAAGCGCTTCTGATGAGGCCAATAATTTAGTTATGCACAGGCTTGTTAAGGATATTCTATAATGTCTAACATATAGAAGGGCAAGTGTCCTTAAAGCGGCAACAATTGACCTGCTCTTTGAATCGAGACAAGACCTGTATACCTCAAGCGTATATAGACACTATTCATATAACTGACATATATCAAAGTTATCTTTACTGAGCTTTTTCTTATGCTATAAGAATAACAGCCCATTGACAGCAATATTTTTATACAGACAACTGACGTTTCATATGACATTTCTTGTTTTTTTTTTGATAAAATATTTGCTCAAAAAAATTGGATCAAACATTTTTTTTTTAATATGAAAATTTAATACAAGCAATCCAGCAGCTGATAAGGCGCTGCAAATCTAAGATTTTCTGTTTCCTGAAATGCGAGGTCTGTTAGCAAACATCATGAATATCTACTTCGTTACCTTCAAAGGAATGCTCATAAGATATTATAGACTTTCTTTCACTTTCATTCTAATGCTCGAAGCACTTTGAAAATTCATTTTCTGTGATCTTTCTCAGCTATCCAGCTATGATCAAGCATCAAGAGATTGCATCGAAGAAGAAATCGTAGCTTGAGCATGTGTCAGGGGAACAGCTTTAATGTTTTGATTTTGGCCAACAACTAGATACAGATTCTGCTCCATTTACTGAAATGAGCCAAAATCAAAGATGTCCAAGCGCAACAGCTGCACTGAGCACTCACAGTAGCCAAACTTGTTAGCATAGATATTACCAATATAAACATGCGAAAAGCATACTTTTTGAGCACGCCTCGCATAAGCCAAACTGAATTGCCCAACCGCCGCACATACAGCAAAAGAATTGAAACGGAAGCCTTTAAGGGAAATGTATGTGTGTGTGCACAAATAGATATTGGCATGTATGAGATATGCTTAATATGGAAACGCTTGATAACTTGTTCATCAGTTGGCCAACAGCAGCAGCAGCAGCAGCAGGCAAACAGGCAGACAGGCAAAAATATCTGTTTGTCTTTTACGAGGCAACGCGTTTACTTAGTTTTAACGATTTCATAAAATTTTTTATAGATTCTTTTCGTTTTGACAGTCAGCCAAGTTATTTGCCAGCTTTTGCCCTTTGGCATGCTCTCTCTCTCTCACTCTCTCACTCCCTCTCTCTCTGTCTGCTGCCCTGCAAGCATTCG